TGCTACTTTATGGTACTAATTTCAAATGTTCATGTTGTAGTATAATTCGTTGGGTTTTTTCCTTCATACTGATATCCAAAAGTAATAATTAATAAATAACCAACGTGTTACTATATCAAAAAACTTACTGCATTCTCACTTTGTAGTGAGAAGCAGGCTTAAAAGTAGTTGGGTGTCACAATCAAGCTGGACCGTGGAAGGACCCTTGGTAAAGAGCCATGTGTGAACTTCATGGTATTTTGGGTATTTTCCATTCGTATTTTGTTGTGCAAGCTAGTGGGTACCAAAGTGGTTTTATTCTGTTCCTGATCTGTATCCTTAGAAAAATGGTACATTTGTGTAGAACAGAACGTGACAAACCTGTTGGTTTTGAGTGTGGATAGTCTCTGTGAAATAGGAAGATGTATCGAGGAGAAAAGGAGGGTAGTTAAAATTGTGGAAAGAGAGGGGCACTGGAGAAATAACATTGCCATAAGGAATGTTTCTAAAGAATGCAATAGAAGACTGGAAAAAAATCAAAACTAAAGAATTGGAGAGAATTGCATGAATAAGCTTTTGAGCTTCTTTCTTCTTTCTGTTTGAATAGCAGAAAGAAACTAAAAAGTAAATCCCACTTGCAAAATTAATGACTGTGTTAAATAAAGATTTCCCTTTTTATTCTTTTGCATATATTACTTTGTAAAACTAAAAATAAATTTAGTATCATTCTTCTGAGGCCACAGTCCTGTTTCCATTTAGAGACTTTTAACTCTGTAAAGTTTGTTATTTTTCATTTAAGTTCTACTGTACCGGATATTTAATTGTGCCTTAACAGACAACTATTATTTCCTGTTACCTTTAGTACTCTTTGAAGAAAGTTCTGAAATTGTCTGACAGTTCTTTGCTACTCTCAGTCACTGCTGTCTTTGCTGTAGTAGAGAGAGTACATGGCACATAGGTTTGCCTGTCTGTTTTAAAGACTGTAATGGAGACATGCATGTTGATTTACAAGTAATTTTGATGCCTACACCATTTGACCTGCCTTGAGAATTACAAACTAAGAAGAAAGCACACATGGAAGAGATGTTATTGATAGCATGCTTGAGGAAAATTACCTCAGGTTGTATGGACCTCAGGTTCAGGACTGTTCTCGCAGTCCCCTGGCGTAAATCAGCACAAGAACTCTAAAGCTCCTTTGGGTTTGGTGAACAAATTAGAAGTCTTGTTACCCTAAATAAACTGGCAAAGCTCCCTAGGAGAATGCAGTTTATAGGAGTAACAGATTGTGTTTGCTACGGCGGTAAAGCTCCTTTCTACGTGCCTCAAACCAGTAGATCCCAGTGCTGGTGTAGGCGAAGGGCAGCCACATGGTAAACCGAGCGAGCATGGAAAACAAACCTAGATCCATCCTGTGCTTTCGGACATCAGGACTACGATGTGCGGCAGCCTTATACAAGCAAGAGATCTTTCTGTTGCCAAGTGCTCTGTAGTGGGGATTTTCTAGCCTATCTGTTGTTGATTGTGGTACGGTGGTTTTTTTTTTTAAGAGGCTTAATTAAGCTGTTAAAGCCAGCAAAGCTTAGAATAAACTACTAAGTCTGTGTATGTTGCACTCTCTCTGATGTTGATTCCAGGTATCATTTGTTTGTAAAGCACTTCTTTCCCCACGTCTTAAAATATTCAGGCAAAAAATTATGTGAGCCTTTGGCTGGCATTCGTGTAACTGTAAAAATTCTGTATTATGTTAGTCTAATAAAGCACACAGATTTTTAGCAACAGCACACAGAAAAATAGAGAAGTAAGCACTCTCTGCATTATGCAATGTAACGTTTATATATATTTATTGCTATTCTGTTCATGTTTGTTCAATGCATAAGTTTATAGAGTTGAATCAGTACAGTGATGCATAATTTTGTAATGCTGTAGCATAATGTTACTATTTGCTTTAAGATTTATATTGTATTTAAAAGCCAACAGAGACATTTGATTTGAGAGAATGCCAACATTATGTTCCATGTGAAGGAGTGCAATGAAATTGTTGTACAGAGAGGGCAGAAAGTGCCCAATTGAGAGATGGTGATGTTCACCCTGGTTTTCCTGTGCCTTTTGAGTATTAAGCAATGGTGTGACTGAAATGCTTAACAAGAAGTGAGATGTTGTCGTATATATACTTAAAAAGAAATATCTCTTGGTAGTAGAGGATCTGAATATGAAAAGCAAATAATACTCAAAAAAGTTTTCCAGATTGGAAAGGCTGAACTTCTACAAGTGGGGGAGCTTGTTTTATTGAGAGTAAGGTTAACGGGGACGTGGCTGCAGTGAACTCGTAATGTCTTAATCTAGTCACCCTTGCATAGGTGGACTGAAAAAACGTTTGCAATGCTGCAGATCCGAAATAGGGAAACTGATAACACGTGTGACATTAACAGTGCAGTGTGAACGGCATAGATGCAGCATGGTAAAAATTGTGTCTTGATTGGCAGTTTCTAGCGCAGAAGTGTACGGGCTGCCTCCCTGGAAGGTTACATGCACAGTGCAGGGAGGGAGCCCGGGACAAAGACTGTCATTTTCTGTAATTTTGGTACATGGAGGTGTGTGGCAAATCATACAGCGAGTATGTGGGGTAGGGCAGAGCTGTAAACCACAGGGGGTGGCATGGCGGAGAAGGAAAGGACACAACGCATTCCTGAGAGGCTAGTCGTTCAGATGGCAGTGTTGGTAATCATCACCTACGCTCAGCTTAATGTATGGTTCTGGTCTCCTGGACCTGCTTCCACTGCACAGAATGAGTACTGAAACAGTACACTGGAAATGATCCTCCTGAATGCATACTCCTGCATTTCCTTTTTTTGTGATAAAATAATGTAGGTGTGGAGAAAAAAGAAAAAAAAAAAACAACCCTTATCTACCAAATCTACTAACGCATGTTTTTTTGTTTGTATTTAAGCATCGTAGTTAAGCTTAAATTAAGTTTGACTTCCTACAGTGTGGGATCCAATAAAGATCGATGTTTTAGCTTTTAAGGTGCATTATGTAAGTCATGTTCTTCTTATGTGTTACGCAGGAAGACGAGAAATTTTTGTCTGAAGTTTTTGCACAATTAACAGATGAAGCTACAGATGATGACAAACGATGTGAATTGGTAAGTCAGTGGTCTTGGTAGTTCTTTGAATGCTTTAAACTATAGAGATTAAGTAGAAATATTGAAACTGTTCTGCTAGTTCTGCAGTCATTGAGGTATTTCTGTAACCCTAGAATAATTTCCAATGTAGCTTAGTCTTCGTCTATGTACTCGCTAAAAAAATATTTCTTGCAAGGTAAGCTCTGATTTATTTGTTCTAAATAATTATTTTATTGTTGAGAAAGTACTAGCACTAAGCTGACATCCTAGACTTCAGGTATACTTTCTTCCAAGTACTCTTCCACATACCATATCACTTATATTTGTCATATATATTTACTTTTTTCACTGTACTTCACTCATTCAAAAAGATCTTTTAAGTCCTATGACTGAGGATTACCAGTAGTCCCTTAATATATATATATATAAAACAAACATTATTTATCCTTGAATTTGTTTATCAGCTTAAATTGCCTTGTTAAAATCTTGCTTTCAGCAAGGGAAGCATCTTTGTTCTTTCAAACAAAAGGCACACCAGGCAGGAGTATAAATCCTTCACATGCTAGATGTGATAAAGTAGCTACAAGGTGACTGTATCTCTTTCTGAGGAAAATTTCAACCTCTTAAATTTGTTTGTTGGTTTTTACTTTCTTTAGCTTTTCTTTGTTGTTGTTGTTGAAGGTTGGAGGAGAAAGGACTAGAATAATAACCATTTTCTGGGAAGGCACATACCAGCCAGTACACAAACTGATACAATTTATAAGTTTCCTACTTTCAGAGAGTTCTCTGAATCAAATACACCTTAAATGATTTTTTTCCTATACGATAGGTTAACTTTTTCAAGGAATTCTGCGCGTTTTCTCAGACGTTACAACCTCAGAACAGAGATGCATTTTTCAAAACTTTAGCAAAGTTGGGAATTCTTCCAGCTCTTGAAATTGTAATGGTAAGTGAAAACTTAAAGCTTATCTTAATAAAAGGAAAAAAAAAAAAACATAGCCATTTAACCAGTTTTTCAGGCCTGCTAAGCACCTTTGTGTAAGTTTGGACAGCCTTGCTCTGCTGAAAGTTGAAGTTTATTGTAATGTTCAGAATCCAAAAGATATCCACAGTTTAGCCTAACTTTATTGCTGCTGTTATTTTTACTTTGCATGATGGAGAAGTCTGTGGTAAATGCAGTCCTTTTGACAACGTGTGTAAAAATTGAAAGATATTCTTTTTCATGTGGCAGCTTGATTTTTTTTCCCTGTTGTTGTTGCTGTTGGAACAGTGCCAAAGAAGTATTTTTAGGTAATCTTGAACTGTTAGCTTGTTGCTATCCGAAAGATCACATAATCCTGTCTTTTCAAAGGTATAAAGCAGATTAATCTATCTTAATCGGCAATGTGAAAACATAAGTTTTTTCACTCCTTTGGTTGAAGCAGCTGTTGCTGCCTGACCATTGCAATTCATATGTCAGTGCTGTTCGTACTCAGAAACTATAAATTCAAGAGTTTTTATGTTCTAGAGTAACAACCTGTGAACTTACCAAAGGACATTGACTGTTATGAAAACGTAAAAGTCATATAGATGTTCAGTGATTAGATGAACCCTAATCTTATTATTCTCTTCTAGGGCTAGATGAGTCCAGATATTCCCTGTTACATTAATACTTTAGGCTTAGAAATTGTACCGTTATCAGAGAAAATCGCATACCTTAAGGAAAATTATTAATTCTTGTTGCCTATAAATGAGTACAGAAACTTCGTACAAATTGATTTGTACAGTTGGTCCTTTTGTACAAAATCAATAAACTGTGGGTAACAGGTACAGAATATTAGTATCTTAGATATTCTAGCAAGTAGCATGATATAAATGTTTCCTGCCTAAATTAGGGCTATCAAATTCACAGAAATCCTTGCATTCTTTCTAAAGAAGGGAAATGGCGGGGAAAAGATTTTGCTCGTTTGTTTTTTTTTTTTTCCTGTAACTGTATTACTGTGTCTCTCGTAGAAACTTTTATAATAAAATGTTCTCAAAGCTTTTAATTCCCTATTCTTTGCAGCTTTACTTGATAATAAATACCAAACTTGATTTACTGTAATAAATTGATCTCTTTTTTATTAGGGAATGGATGATCTGCAAGTTAGATCTGCTGCTACAGATATATTTTCTTATCTAGTAGAATTTAGTCCATCCATGGTCCGAGAATTTGTAATGCAAGAGGCCCAGCAGAGTGATGATGTAAGTAAAAGTGTTTTGGAGTTTGTTGAATATACTAGTTTTAGAGCAAGCAGAAAAACAAACAGCAAAAAAACCCTCCAGAATTTGGGATACAGCTAGCCCAAAAATGTAGATAATGGAAACACAGGGAAAAGTAGATTTAAGGTACAAAAATTTCTGAGCATGTTGGTGTTCCATGTGTTTACAGTAATGCAGCTCTCTTTTCTGTTTCACTTAAATTTTTAAAAAAAAAAGGAAACCTCATACGGAAGCTAGGAAAATCATTCCACTATTGAAACTGTCTAATTATTTTTTTGTTTGATTGGTTGGCTTTTTTGCAGGATATCCTCCTCATCAACGTGGTCATTGAGCAGATGATCTGCGATACTGATCCTGAACTTGGGGGAGCTGTTCAGTTAATGGGGCTCTTGCGTACTCTGATAGATCCAGAGAATATGTTGGCCACAGCTAATGTAAGAAAATACGAAGGGGTAAAGACACTTTACTGTCTCAGCAAAACTAAAAGCCTGGTATTTAATGCTGTTATTGCGGTCGGAGGATAAAAAAAAAGAGATTTTTATTCTTTTTTGACAGTGTTGTGTATGGTTGATACTGAATTTAAACAAGCTAAAAAATAAGCTAAAATTTCCATTAACTTTTGATAATAACAGGTATGCGTATGTGGTATTGTAGAAGTGTTTATTAACTAAGCACTCCCGTGCTTCAGTGAAATAGCATCCATGTATTATATTTGCATCCATCATGGGGGTTTTTTGGTGATAGCTAGGTTGGTTTGATGTGTCTCAGATCTTTTCCCAAAGTAAAGAAATATCTCTTATTTGAGGGAAGATAATGTTGCAGGACCAACCAAAAAGATACAGGCAGACCTGAGTGAGTTGATAGAATTATTTGTAGGCTGTCTTTTATGTTGCTACTCCTTCTTATTTAAAAGGAAGTATACAAATGCGAGTATTTAATAAAGTTATGTTTGTTTTAGAAAACAGAAAAAAGTGAATTTCTCAATTTCTTCTACAACCATTGTATGCATGTTCTTACTGCACCGCTTCTGGCTAACACATCAGAAGATAAATGTGAAAAAGGTAATGTTACGGGTTTTTTTTCCCTTGCTTTAAATCTTGTTGTGTTTTCAAGTGACTTGCAGTCCTGGTAACAGCGATAAGCCTGTGATGCAAGCTGGGAATATGCTTGCTGAAAACGGTTGATCCCTCGGTGATAGGGGTTCTGTGGGCAGAAGTTTTAATAGCCCTTCATTGCAGCTTTGAATTATGCTTTGTAAATGTATCTGCTTGATATTTGTTGTATTGTTAATCGTGTACTAGTTCTACCAGTGTAATTTTAAAGAACATTTGCTGTAAAGCAGAGAGTGTCTTTAGTTCATAGTTACTTTTAGAAAAAAGTTTACAAAAGTGCTGTGACATTGGTCAGTGGTTACGTGATTCCAGGCATCGGGTGTGCTCAGGTGATTAACTCCGAAGACTAGTTTTCACTTGGCTGTAGTATAGAAATCCTGGAAGAAATCTATTCAAAGAAATACAACTTGGAGCTCCTTTATCTTGTTTCTTTTTTTATTTTTCCTGGTAACAGTAAATGACTTGGAAATCTCAGTTTGGCGCACGCAAATAACACTCACTAGTTTCTCTCTAGTGCTTTACAAACAGAAATTTAACATCATTACAGCCTCTTGAGTCAGACTTTTTTCTGAGTACTCTTTCAAGAGATTAAATCAAACCAATATGTATTTGGTAAAAACATTTCTTTCATCTTACCCATCTTCTCATATTAAGTGTTAAGTCAAAAAATAAATGTTTTATGCATTTTATATGAAAATAAAACTTGTAGAATACCGGTAGTATTCATTTTGTAATATTATTTGAAAAATTTTGACTAGGCACTTTCTTTTAGTCTAGGTAGGAATAATGTTCCCAAGTATTAGATTACATATTTTCACCTAGTTGAATTTGAAACTTTGTAATGTGAATTGAATACAGAAATCTCATCTGGCATGCATTCTTGCTGTATGTTTATTTCCCTATAGCTTACAGAAACTTTTGATTTGATGAAAAGTTTGAACAGCTGGTAGAATTGATTATTTATCCCCATCTTTTAAATATTTACAGTGCTTTGAAAACCTTTTTCTGATTTTTGTTTTTATTTTCTATTTATCAGATGCAGTAGTTGGGTCTACTAAGGCTAATACCATTTGTCCTGGTAAGTTTTAATTGACCTTGAGTTTTGAAACTTGTCTTGTATGCTGTCTATGGTGGTTTTATTTTAAAAAAAAAAAAAAAAAGTTGTTAGATAGTCTGTATTTTATTTTTTTAAATACTTTTTATTGAAATAGATGTAGGTGCTTTGCTTCATTTGAGACGACAGGAAGCTGAAGGAATATTTTCATCTGCTTTTGAGTTACTGGATTTCACCTTTTTCCCCCAGTCAACCTTGCTACTGAAAGTTTAAGTAATTTTTAGCAGAGTATGTATTAAAGAGGCATAGCTGAGCTTTTACAGTTTGGATTTTTATCTGTGCAGGCTTCTTTTTTGAGCATTATGAAAAGACATTGCTAATTAGGTTCACATGAATACAGGTCTGACTGGCTTTCTTCTTTTAACTACATACCGTTAATCTGGATTGCCATAACCAGTGACTCGCTGACCCCGGAAGAAATCCCACTGCCAATTTAGGGCGATTTTTGTGACTGGAGAAAAAAAATAAAAAGCCAAATTTGTGTGTGTTGTTTTGCTGTGACCCGATGTCCTGCTTCCTAAAGCAATCCAGTGTGCCACTAAAAACATGTCAGGAACTGTAACAGCAACTGAGCTTGGTGATGATTTGGTGCATGGTAGTACTTTTTTTTTGGTATAACTTAAGGCATTAATTTTTCTTGTAGATAATTATCAAACAGCACAACTACTTGCCTTAATTTTGGAGCTGCTTACTTTTTGTGTGGAACACCACACGTATCACATCAAGAATTACATTATGAACAAAGATTTGCTAAGAAGAGTACTGGTCTTGATGAATTCAAAACACACATTTCTGGCCTTGTGTGAGTATGGAGCTGTTGTGATTTCCTTCTTCAAGGCTTTGTATGTACTGTGTGGAATGTGTGTGAGTAAAAGTGTATACTTAAATTCAAAATTAGTGCTAATTTCCTATTTACTACTGACTAGCTGTTAAGTAATTTCGGGAAAAAGATAGCAGATGTCTGTTAATGTAGACCAACGCAGTTTATGGTGGGAGGAGGATTGTTGTATCTTTTGAAGTCCACAATGATCCTATCAAGTCTTTATGACAGTAAGGATCATTTGTGATCAGCTGTCTTATCTCATTTAAATGGAAATACTGTCATTTCTTAATAATGTCGTAAATCTCATGCTTCTTGTGGAGAGTGAAGGGAATTTTGTGAACTGTGGTATGTAAAGAATAGGGGCTGGTTCTGGGAGGTGAACACAGAGAAGCACAGGAATGAGCTAATAATTTAACTTCGCTTGTGCTAAAGTTTATTGCTGCCGTGTTTAAAAAAAAAAATGAATGGACCTTGGTCACATTCAAATACCCAGGAAAGTCGAAGAATGAAAGAAAGGTTACCTGTCAGCAAATGTTTCTTCTGAACTCTCAGAAAGTGCTTGATAACACTCTTGGTTTGGGGGCACATCTTCCTCTGAGTAACATCAGGTTTTTTCAGTTCTTTCCAAGGGAGGCAGATTGGAGCCCTGGCATGTAGTTAACTAAATTATTGAATTTCTTTCTTGATATAGGTGCTCTTCGCTTTATGAGGAGGATAATTGGCCTAAAAGATGAATTTTATAACCGTTATATCACCAAGGGAAATCTGTTTGAACCAGTTATAAATGCTCTGTTGGATAATGGAACTAGGTACAATCTGCTCAACTCTGCTGTGATTGAGCTGTTCGAATTCATCAGAGTGGTAAGTTAAGCAGCTTCTTCAGCTCTTACACGTGTGCGGCATCTCGGGTAGAAATACAAAATGCAAATCTTTCCCGTGAAGGAGTGTATTACTACTTAAAATCGCAAACTAAAAATCCCATAGATAAATATCCAAATAGAAAGGAGCCAGTAAGCTGCTTCATGCTGTTTTACTTGATCGTCCCTTCAGAGAGTGTGTGTAGGCCCTGTTTACATATCAGTCTGTGTTAAAAGGTAGTGTCCTGTAGATGAAATTCTTTTTAAGTGGTTGACAGTGTTGCTGGACTAAACTTCGAAGTGAGGAATTAAGTGAAATATGTTTTATGTGAGTAAATCCAGGTATTATCGGGTATAATGGAGACTAATTTGACTATAAATTTGATTGTCCTTTAAAATCCTACACGCATGCTTTCTTAGACAGAGTCAGCTTTGAATCAGTAGCTTTTCCACCAGCAGCATTTGTGGGAGCAATGAGTATGTGGACAGGACAGACAGGACGAGCAGGAGCTCCCGGTTTGTTGTATTGCTGGGGTTGAAAACAAGGACTTGCAGCAGCTCCTGAGCTACTCGCTGCGAATGCCTGGGTGTGTGGGAGTCTTCTCAGGGAATCTCCGTCGTATGCGAAAATGAAGGGCAGTTTTTAGTCACAGGATATGGTAGCTGCTGTCTTTTCCAGCAAGAAAAGGGGACTTTTGCCAGCGCGGTATGAAAGTTAAGATTTGCTTGATACGGTGAGGCTTGTTAGAGGGTGACTGACCAAAAGGTGCCTCATCCCGCGTGTGCTGCTGTGGTTCCTGAAGACTGGGACGAGAGCTAAAACTTGTGGGGAGAGCAGGGCACGGCTAAACTCCTGGTTTTTTTCAAAAGGCTTAATCCTAGATAGCAAGCATCATGGTTTAATCAAATTATCACAAATAGAATTGGGACAGTACTGAGTATCTTGTCCATTTATATGGGAAATTTAATAGTTATTTCTGGATTTCAGCTTTTTTATTAAGGAAAAATCTGATTACTTCACATTTGTTCTTTACTATGATGTTTTGACTGAACAATGAATCAGTTACTTTTAAAACTAAACTCTAAAGCTTTCTGAACTTCTGCATGTTAATATTTGAGACTGAAACCCTGCTTCTTCTTATGCAGGAAGATATTAAGTCCCTTATTGCACATATAGTTGAAAACTTTTATAATGCACTTGAATCTATCGAATATGTTCAGACATTCAAGGGACTGAAGACAAAATACGAGCAAGAAAAAGACCGACAAAACCAGAAACTGAACAGGTGCGACCCAGTTTATGTATTCTGAGACTTTTATTGAATGCTATTGTGTACTATCTTCTTACTGCTGCCTGGTTTTTTCCTTTCCTAGAGGGCAGAAGCAGCAGAAGGCTGGGGCTGGGCTTGTTTTTCATTCTTGATGAAAACTTCTTCAATTAGAGTAAACCCCCATCTGACTTTTCTTGTGGCCTACTGCAGTACAGTTCGTATTTGTCAGTACATTAAATGTTACATTCAGAAAACTCTCAGCTTATGAAGAGCAGAGTCTTCTGTCATTCAGAGTTAGGATTCGGTCTGCCTTATTGTCAGCCGGGGTTTTGGTGAAGCTTACGTTGACGGTAGAACCGGGGACGGAGCTGGAGCGCCTTCTCAAACGCCCTGAATTCACTTTAAAGCCTCAGAAGCCATTTCTGATCCCTGGCTGAGTCTGAAACAGCAGGCGAAACTTGAATCACTTGTCATGTGTCTCTTACAGTGTTCCATCTATATTGCGTAGCAATAGATTCCGCAGAGATGCAAGAGCCTTGGAGGAGGATGAAGAAATGTGGTTCAATGAAGATGAAGAGGAAGAAGGTGAAGCCGTTGTACCTCCAGTTGAGAAGTCAAAGCAAGAGGATGATTTTCCAGATAGCTATGAAAAATTTATGGAAACTAAAAAAGGTATTTACTCAGTTTCAGCTTGTCAGCACTGGACGTGCCCTATGGCAGATATGTGGAGTGCCATGTAAACAAGCCGGTTGCTCGTGCTCTGTATCATAAGCAGGAGTAAGGGTGTTCTATGTAATTAAGTAACGAATTCCTAACATGTCTTTGCAAGCTAGTTTAGGATTAAAATAATGAGTTAAACTGCTCCAAGCGTGCATCTAGTTTAAATGACACTCAAAAGCAAAATTTTACCTGTACTTGCGTGCGCTGAGTGAGCAATGTCCCCATGTCCGCAGCATCTGTGCCGATCTCAATTTGAATGCTGGCGTGCTTTGCATGAGGTCAGTAGGTGAGCTGTTGATTTAAACTGAATTTAAAAAAAAAAAAAAAAAAGGTGGCTTTTGCCCTGTGATTCTGCTGTGATGTGGATTGTACTCCATGGTGTGCAGCTGATACTTAAGTATGAAAATGTTTGTCCCTCAGCTAAGGAGAGTGAAGACAAAGAGAATCTTCCAAAAAGGACTTCAGCTGGGGGATTCAAATTCACTTTTTCCCACTCAGCCAGCGCAGCCAATGGTGCAAACGGTGCAAACAGTAAATCCGTGGCAGCTCAGACGTCACCAGCAAGCTCCAACGGCTCCTCTTCAAAGAACGCAACCCTGACCACAGCGGTGACAGCCACGAAGGTGGGAGGACTTGTACGAAAGCTGCTGTCCTCGCTTGGGACAGCGGAGCAGTGTAATGAGACTTTACCGGTTGTAATGCGGTAAGGTTAGCATTAGCCGCTAGGCAGGGTATCTTATTTACATATAAATTCACCCAAAGCCCTGCCTAGTTAAACCCCTACTAGTTTCGGGGAAGGTTTAAGGAAGTATTAGGTGGGACTGGAGTCTGTTGGTAATCTGGTGGGCACAGTTTAATCGCGCATCTTCTGCCTAATTTAACTGCTCCCACTCCTCAGCTTTAACTGTCTGGTTGCTGCTGTGTGTGTGATACACATACGAGGTTGTTTTTTTCTAAATTATGTTAGTGCCCCTCCTGCCATCCCCCTCCCCCCCCCAATCAAGGAATTAATAAGTGTTTTTAAGCAGACAAAATACAGTAAGTGATACCTCCGTTATGTCTTACACAGTCGTGCATATTATTTTAACCTTTAGCCCGCAAGCTCCTGAGAGGCTACAGAAAAGTGTGGCAAAAATCTTATTGCACACACCTAAGACTTGCCAGCAAAATGGATGTATAGTGTACACGTTGGATTTTGTGACTGTCCACTTGGGAGCTTAAGAAGTGATTTTTAAATAATTCTGAGGCCAGACCCCGAGGAAGGAACTTCGGTACTTTTTTAACCCTGAGGTTCAAAAACAATTGCAAGACAAATGGATCTTTGAATGAAAAGGGCATCACCAAGTAACCTCCTGCAGGCTTGTGTGTCCTGGACAGGTTGGCTGGGGTTATGTACTAAAATTTGCACATTCCTGGGTGGTTTTTTTCAATGTGAGATTTTTTTTTTTCTTTTTTTTTTCTTTTTTTTAAATTGGCAGGGAAGTCTAGTTGGCCTAGTGGATTATCCCGATGATGAAGATGATGATGAAGAGGAGGAGACATCTCCAAGGAAAAGACCTCGTCTGGGTTCATAAATGAAACCAAAACTTTGGAATAAAAACTTTTATTATGGGGTTTCAAATGCTGCAACTGTTTTAAGAGCTAAAAAGATTCTGATGCGGAAAGCTTTCTCCCATGAGTATATAAGATAATACAAGGAGTAGCAAAAGAAACTCAGTGTATCAGCTAGAAAGGGTTAGTTCTGTAAACACAAAGCTCCAAGGAACTTAATATCTTTCTAGTTAAGTAAGGAGTCTGCCATTCAGGCTGTCAAAAAAATTAAAAATTAAAAAAAAAAGTGGGTTGGTATTCACAGAACCTGGATGATGGCTTCTCAGCAAGGAAAGTCTCAGGTGTCGGGAGGGCAGGGGGAGGGAAAGGTATGGTAAACACTTTTTTAAAAATATTGCAGGGTTTCCCCAGTGTTTAACAGAACTAGGAAAAAAAAAAAAAATTCAGGCTTAAATTTTGAACCCAGTAATCTTAATTTTGTAATGGTGCTGTCAGTTGTGTTCTTTTAGCAATGCCTCTTTTAAAGAAAATTCAAGGGAAAACTAACTGTTTGCATAAGAACAATCCAGATTTTGGGACCATTTATTACCAATTAAATCGCATTTCTCATGGTTGGAGGGAGGGACACTGCAGTTATAGTGCATGTTGAGTTGTTTAAAACAGTTAAAAGTAAGTTCTAATTTGTATTTTTCGAGAGGAGAAAATGGAAGCCGGATTCAAAATGGATGGTTTTGGTTTTTCGATTAGACATCCAGTAATATCTATGCCAAGGAACGATCGCTTCCAAAATACCTCCAGGAGCTGCTTGTGTCAAAGTGGTGCTGTACGCGGCGCACCCAAATAGCTGTCGGCTTCACCTTGCGGAAGATAACGATTTTTGAATCGCTTCCTGTGTTGTTAAATGAGCTGTCTCGGAGCAGCAAGCCATTTTCCCGTTTGCGAGCTTAAATCGCGTAATTGAGGTGGTAATAAACACTAACAGGTTTTTAGTAAGCGATGAATTTAGCGGCGTTTTAACACCCAAGTCCCTTTGGACCAAGACGGAATTGTTACTAACAGAGCACCGGTCTTTGAGGCAGAATTAGCAAGCAGCACCTGAATCTGGGTGTAATACGAAAGCTGCTTTTTTAAAAAATAAAAGCACATTCCACGTAGTAGGTAAGCAAACTGCGACAAAAATAGGCGAGTTGATGGCGAGTTGATAGCGGCAAACAGTCCAGGTTTTATTTTCAAGAGCAGCAAGTGAACTGTAAATATTTTAATGTTCGTTTGCCCATATGTGATCTGAGATCATGATGAAGTGAGAGGAAATTTCCCAATGACAATTAATGTGTCAGAAATATTAAAATACGAAACCAGCTGCAATCTACCACATAGATCACTCTTGTAATATGTGTTATGGGTCCATTTCTCCTGGAATAGTTTAAACTGAAGCAGTTTCTCTGTTTTGGAGATTTTTGTAGTTAATTTTAATTTTAGCTATTGTTTGGAAAAAGATGGGCTGTCTGTGTAGATATGAAGTATAGTTTTTTCCATAAAACAGAAGTTTATTTTGTATTAAAAATACCACTGTACTTGTTTTACACCATTTGTATACATGTGGTGATATTAATGCTGAACTGTAAAATTCAGGAATTAAAATGTGACCCTGTAATTCCATAATTACTGCTTTTGTTTGGTTTGTTGTACACGGTAAGTTAACTCAGAATTTTAAATGTGGCCATTCTAGGGTATTTTTTAAGAGTAGTTATCCATGCAGTTTTAAAAGTAACTCTATACCACTAGATGAAATCCCAAAGGGAACGTGCAAGTTCTTCCTGGCACGTAAGCTAGACACAAGCGTTCTGACGGATGACAGTTGACGTGCGTGGACCTGGGGACAGTGGGGTTGCCCTTTGCGGGCTCCAGGCAACAAGAACGGGACTCTGTCTTTTTCACCTGTGCGATGAAACACCCCGTCGGCTCCGAACGCAGAGGATCCGAGGAAGTGTCCGCTGGTAAAGCGTAGCTGCAGTCTCATCGCCGTGTGCTCGCTCTCCCGCTGACGATCGCCTGGTTTTCTTCCTGATGAGTCTTTTCTCTCCGTCGGTAACGATGATTAACTTCCTCCAGCGCTACACACGCTACTCCAGCAGCAGCAGCAGCGTTACGCAGTGTGTGCCTTTACTAACCTGAGGCTGAAGAATTGCGTCAGCTGGTCTGCAGACCCACTCTGCCCTGGTTCTCTCTAACAGCTACCCAAAACAAGTCCTCTGAGGGTCTCCGACTGAAGCGTGTCAGTTCTTACTCTGTTCCCCATCACCCCAACTCTTCCCTGAAGTACTGGCAGGAGCTTTAAAAAAATCATTCAGACCAACATGAGGGTTTTTTACAGCAAAAACAAGAATGTCATGAATTTTTATAGTTACTAGAAAAAGACTGTGTAAAGTGGCATTAGATGTCCCGTTTAAAAAAGAAAATTCAAAATCCCTGTAGAAGGTGACACGCAGCACTCTGTTAACTGACTTTTGTCTGGGGCCGTCGGTGCTGCCTGGGTTCTGCCTGCGGGCAGCCGAGTTCCCCTGCCTGGGGTCCTCCACTACCAATCTTTTTGGAAAAGAACAGAACATCTGCCAACATGTATCAGTTATAAATGCTATTTTAATAAAAAGTTACATGAAACTTGAATTGGTCGGGTTGTTTCTTTTAATGCGAGTTACTGTTGCTGTCAGCTATGTAATGACAGGGTGCAAAGGGGAGCTTCTCTTCCCTGCTTCACTTCGAGTCTGTCAAAGCCAAACCGGTAAATAGGATTTTAAAAGATTCCTACTGTGAAACCAAATTGCTCGTGACATCCCCAACTCTGCAAGTAAAGCAATTATTTTTACCTGAGGTTGCATTTATAGCAAAATGGACCTAAGGACTGGTAAACTGCCCCAAAAGTATGTAAAACGATGTAATCCAGAGTTAGTTAGTATGTAAATGTCTCGACTCCAAGCTGCTGGAAAATAAGATCATGTTGCACTTCCTTGTGAAATCAGACTTTATTACATTGCACAGCTGAAAAATAGTAATTTGTTTATAATATTCTAATAAAAGGAACAAAGTTCTATAATTTTAAAAATAAAAAAGTTAAAATTTCTAACTCATTCAGAACTGTTCACATAGGAATTATTTTAACAGATCTCAGTATCTGCTCTTGTTCTATATAATATCAAATGGCTGAGGCTAGTAGTTCAAAACATCTGTACGCTGGCGTGATGTTAAATGGCCCCACTGTGAACACGTTCCAGTGAAAGTGAGTTTCCAGCATTCTGGAAAATAAGTGTTTTTAGTGTGTATCAGTGTAATTTTAAGTATTTATATCTAAAGCACTGAGCTGTTTGTCTGAAAGTGCTATAAAACTAAGTGTAATATTGGAAAACAGATCCATTCCATTATTATTGATATAATTTATTCTAAAAACATACTTATGCTCTTGGGTTCTGCAATGAGCTTCTTAAAATTACCGCTTATTAATAACTTCTTCTTTTAGCTTTTCTGCAAGCATTTTCCTCTTCTGTAGTAATTTTTGCTTCTCTTCTGACATTTCCTGAAAACAAAGTGAAAAAAAACAGTGTGATAAACTGCACGGCTTCCAACGCTAACCGCTAAGCAAACGCTAACCGCCAGGTCAGGCAGCCGACACAGGAGCAGCCGAGTAACATCACTTGCAAACCTGAGGCTGCAGCAGCAGGCCTTCAAACTCACTTGCTATCCAGAACGATTTTTAAAAAAAAAACACACTATTCCATTTCTTGAGAAGTGGATCCCAGGATGTGGACAACTGGCTCTTCGCATCAATCCACCTTTTTTCCACTGCACTCTACCAATCTCTTTGAGAGGACTAACCTCAGCTGGTGCTGCTTAGTTGTTCTGGAAGTTCCCCAGTCAACAGTATTTTGGGCATGTTCTGAGCGTAATAAAATGCTCAGCAACTCTGAAAAATACCTGAGGCACTAGAAGGTCTCTGTAAAGAAGAGTAGTGGGTTTGTTTTGGTTTGTTTTTTTTTAAACGTAACTGTTACCACATTGTTTTCTGTGGATTTTAAGGTCTTCTAAATTTGTGTTCAGAGTTTTCAAGCATTTATTCTCATATAAATGTAGATTAGACCTATTTGTGGCAAATGCTTTAAGTCACATTAATGATAACAATGATTAACAAAAAAAAGTTTGGGGTTTTTTTTTTCTGATAAAGACCCCTATACTGGTAGAGCTTCATCCTGTCATAGGATTCTGGGTTTTTTTTTAGTCCATACTTTCCCTCATAGGATTTATTTCTTTTTTCCCCCAAACTAGATTTTCTGTCATCCCCATGGTGCAAGGATTTTTGTGATTTTAGCACTTGTTTTAAGTCCAGGAATATATCGGTTAATTCACTAAGTAACTTCACACACGTCTCTGAATAGAGAACAGCCTTCGGACAAAAAAAAGACCTTTTTTTGTCTGGCTGTACCTCTTCCAGTAATGCACCCTTCCTGTTCTGTCCTATGCTTCCAACCCTCCCACAGGCTTGGTTTTTTCTCTCTAGACGACAGCAGCATCCATCCTTCAGAGAGCCTTGTCTTTCTGAACTGTGTCATCATCATGTCGCTTCCATTCCAGCAGCTGATGGATAGAAATCAAGGATTTCTTCATTTGAAATAGGCACAAAACTCTCAAAAAAGATCAAAAGAACACAGCAAATCTGTTACCTCTGTAAAATAAGGCTTTGCAGAAGAAAAATGTTTGTCCCATTTCAGCTGGAAAAAAAAATTCCCAGGGATTTAAGGCAGCCCAAACAGTAGGTCACAGATTAGAAGAAAACGAGCATTTTAGCCGTTCATAAACTTAAATTAATCATGAGGATTCGATGATACTGAAGCAAAACAACGCTAACTTAATGATTAAAACTTCTAGCCTAGAAGCTTCTGCAAAAACCAGTAACTTGAAAATGCATCCCCTCTACTTCCCCCACTTGTTGCTTTGATCCTGCTACGATACTCAGCAGCAACATTTACACCTTCACTGAAATCTGTTTTTTATAAAGTGGTCAGGATGATTAAAATGTTTGAATCCTTCACCTCTGGAGGAGATGATTCCTCCTCTTTCTTGTCAGTGTTCGTTGGTAACAGCACGTTATTTCTTGACTCCTTCTTTGTAGCCATCAGCATATCCCGTTTTTTCTTTAGGTAGTCCTCTCGTTGCTTCAGCTGCTGTTCTTCAAGTTCTGATAAATTCTGGAAATTTTTTTTTAGAATACATTTTGAAATTAATTTTTGGTACGCAT